CCACCTTAGGTGTATGTGGCTGGTGCCTTAGCCACTTGAGCCACAGGCACCGAGTCGGTACTGTTTCTTATAGAGTGATCTGGGAGGCTTTCTGAGGAGGTGACATGTGAATAGAACCTTGGATAAAGGGAGAGAGGGGGCCAAGAGACCTGGGAGATGCAAAGGGGACAAAGGTCCTGAGGTAGGAGCGTGCTTAGGGTGTTCCAGGAACACAAGGAGGCTGGTATGGGCAGCACCAAGTGAGCGAGGGAGAAGCGGTCACAGAATGAACCGGGGAACAGACACCAAGGAATTAGGGTTTAATCCTGAAGGTAATGGGGAACCAAGAAGGATTCTGAACTGCAGAATTAACTTGAATTATTTTAAAATGGCCATTCTGGCTGCTGCATGAGGAAGGGTCCATAGGGGACACGGTGGAAATTGGGAGCTGGTAAAGAGGCCACTACCAAGAGCCCAGGACACAGGTGGTAGTGGCTTATAATACAGCAGAGCTGGTGGGAGGTAGTGGGTGGGCTTCTGGATGTATTTCGAAGGCAGAGAGGACTGGTGCTGTGGCTTATGCTTGTAATCCCAGCACTTTGGGAGGACAAAGTAAGATTGCTTGAGGCCAGGAGTTTGAGACCAGTCTGAGCAAGAGGGAAAGTCTGTCTCTACAAAAATTGAAAAATTTGGCCAGCACAATGGCTTATGTCTATAATGCTAGCATTTGGAAGGCCAAAGAGAATAGATTGCTTGAGCCCAGGAGTTCGAGGTGCAGTGAGCTAGGATGACGCCACTGTACTCCAGCCAGGGCAACAGGGTGAGAGACCCTGTCTCAAAAAAAAAAAAAAAAAAAAAAAGAGAGAGAGAGAGAGAGAGAGGAAAAAAAGAGAGAAATATGGATTGGATGTGGGGCTCTTAGAATGTAAGAAAGGGAATGTGAGTCAGGGGCAAGTTCAAAGGCTTGGGCCAAGCACCCAGAGATTGGTAGGAGTGGGGTAGGTTTGAAAGATGCCCATGGAGGAAGCTGGGTGGACAGCAAGAGGCAGGAGCTGCAGGGAAACATGGGGGTGCCACATGGATGGTACTTCAAGCCAAGAAACTGGACAGGATCATGCAGAGGGTGCGTGTGGTCAGAAAAAAGACCTGTTTGTACATGTGCTGCTGAAAGAGCACCAAAAAGGCCTGTTTGGGCTCCCCAGTGTCTGCAAGAGAAAAGGATGCTGAGAAGTGGCACCAGAGAGGCCTGGGGAAAACCAGGAGACTCAGACTTAAGGAGCCTCTCTCATGGGGATCTGAGTCAGTCCAGCTCCCCTGAAGTTGGCATCCCACCTGTGTGTGCATGGGTAGTTTGGAAGGGCTGCAGCTGAGAGCTGGCTATAGGGGAGGTGACACAACTGTATGGTGTGGGCCACCCCATTGTCACTCTGATGCCCTGCCAGCTGGGCTGAACAATAAGGGGCATCCTTCTCACTCCTGTCCCCCATTCCTTGTAGGTTCATTAATAAGCTCCAGCCAGGTTCTGTGAAGAAGGTGAATGAGTCCACCCAAAACTGGCACCAGGTAAGCCCAGGGTAAGCCCCTTTCACCCCCTTCCTTGCTCATAAGCCCCCCGCCCACCACTGACTTCCTCCCCCCAGCTGGAGAACATTGGCAACTTTATCAAGGCCATCACCAAGTATGGGGTGAAGCCTCATGACATCTTTGAGGCCAATGACCTGTTTGAGAACACCAACCACACTCAGGTGCAGTCCACCCTCCTGGCCCTGGCCAGCATGGTAAGTGTGGGTTAGGGTGGGCCTGGAGCAGTGTGCGGGGGGTGGCCACTCATGCGCCTGAGCCCAGTGTGAGTGGCAAGTGCTGCCAAGGATCTCCAAGAGGACAGTGCCACCTGGAGTCCCCCCTAGTGATCCCACCCTCTTTACTCCACCCAGGCCAAGACGAAAGGAAACAAGGTGAATGTGGGGGTGAAATATGCAGAGAAGCAGGAGCGGAAATTTGAGCCTGAGAAGCTAAGAGAAGGGCGGAACATCATCGGACTGCAGGTACTGCCCTTTCCCCACAGAGGAGGTCAGAGGGCACCCTGGGCCCCAAAGCCTTTGGGGGAAAGGATATTTGGCATTAACTAGCCTATAAGCCTAGCACAGACCTCAGCATCTTTTTTTTTTTTTTTTTTGAGACAGTTTATGTCGCCCTTGGTAGAATGCCATGGCATCACTCTTGGGCTTATTGCTTCAGCCTCCCAAGGAGCTGGGACTATAGGTGCCCACAGCACCTGGCTATTTTTTTGTATGTTGTCACTGTTGTTTAACAGGCCCAGGCTGGGTTTGAACATGCCAGTCCCAGGGTATGTGGCCAGTGCCTTAACTGCTGAGCTATGGATGCCGAGCCTCAGCATCTTCTACTTATAAACTCCTTCCAATAACAGCTGTCATGGGAGGTACTGCTATCATCACCCCCTTTCTACAGATGAGAAAACTGAGGCTCAGAGAAGCTAGCTTCCTTTTGCCTGATCTCTCAATTCATGCATAGTGGGTTAGGACTTGAACCCTAGAGGTTGATCCTGTACACGTTGGGCCTCAGTTTCCAATCTGAAAATGAAACAGTCCCTTGTCCTCTGATGTCAGTTACTTCTCATGGTCCTTGGTGAGGCTCTGTAATCCTCAGTGTGATATTCCCTGTGGCTTCCTAGATGGGCACCAACAAGTTTGCTAGCCAACAGGGCATGACAGCCTATGGCACTCGGCGCCACCTCTATGACCCCAAGCTTGGCACAGACCAGCCCTTGGACCGGGCCACCATCAGCCTGCAGATGGGCACCAACAAGGGTGCCAGCCAGGTAAGCAGGGGGGCCACAGGGTATGCCAGAGAGGCTTACACCCCTGGCAGTCCCCACAACCTGACCATACTGCCCTCCACAGGCCGGCATGACTGCACCAGGGACCAAGCGCCAGATCTTTGAGCCTGGGCTGGGCATGGAGCACTGTGACACACTCAATGTCAGTCTGCAGATGGGCAGCAACAAGGGGGCCTCACAGAGGGGCATGACCGTATATGGGCTGCCACGTCAGGTCTATGACCCCAAGTACTGCCTGAATCCCGAATACCCAGAGCTAGGCGAGCCTGCCCACAATCACCACCTGCATAACTACTACAACTCTGCCTAGGGGCTGGTGGCTTTCCCTGCCTTCCCTGCCCTCCCCCCACCCCACAGGGAGGCTGGCTGCTGCTCTTGGCTGGGCCTAGTGGAGCCTACTAGGTCCAGCCAACCCCCTCTCCCTGCATGGTACCCTCCAGCCCCCTTGGCACCTGCCTACAGGGTTAGAGTTTGGTGAGAGCAGCCTGAGGGCCCCGGGGGGGGGGCCCTCCCTGTAGTGCTACAGGGTCCAACATAGAGCTGGGTGTTCCCAACAGCACCCAAAGGATGCACTGAGCAAAGCTATTCCAGCTGTCTTTCCACTCCTTCACAAGTGGGTACCCCAGGACTAGAAACCCCCCCCTCCAAGCAAAGCCCCCAGAGCCCAGGCTCGACCTGCCCCACCCTGTCCCTGCAGTGGAAGCAAACTGCATGCCCAGAGACCCAGCGGACACACGCAGTTTGGTTTGCAGCGACTGGTGTACATGGATGTGACAGCAGCGTTTGGAACGCAAGCACTTTTTCTATTTCACTGGAGCACAATAAATGGCTGTAAAATCACCTGAGGCCTCCCCTGATGTGGGAAGATCCATTGAGCTAAGGAGTTCAAGGTTACAGTGAGCTATGATTGGGCCACTGCACTCCAGGCTGGGCCAAAGAGTGATGTCCTGCCTCTCTCTTTAAAAAGAAAAAAAAAATGGTGGCTCAGTGACTAGGGTGTCGGTCCCATATACCGAGGGTGGTGGGTTCAAACCTGGCCCCGGCCAAATTGCAACAACAACAAAAATAGCTGGGTGTTGTGGCGGGCACCTGTAGTCCCAGCTACTTGGGAGGCTGAGGCAAGAGAATCGCCTAAGGCCAGGAGTTGGAGCTGCTGTGTGCTGGGACGCCACAGCACTCTACCAAGGGCAATAAAGTGAGACTCTGACTCTAAAAAAAATAAAAAGGCATACTTAGGAGAGCTAATATGTACACAGGTTCACACACACACAATGCCCAGCAGATGTCTGTGAGGGGCCTGTGGGTTGTGGTGACAAGGAGCCCACCCACTGGTACAGGCTAGACAGGATGTAAATCCTGTATCTGCTACTGACTGGCTGGGTGACCCTGGGCAACCATTTCTCCTTCCCCATCAGGAAAATGCAGACAGTAAGCCCTGCAAGGTCAGGAGAGAGCTTAAATGAAATGACACCCCAGACGGGGTGATGTTCCAAACCCTGAGCTGCTGATGGGGTTCAGGCACTGACAAGGAGGAAGGACAAAGAGCAGGGGGTCTTTGGCTCGGCGCCTGTGGCTCAAGTGGCTAAGGCACCAGCCACATACACCTGAGCTGGTGGGTTTGAATCCAGCCTGGGCCACCAAACAACGGCTGCAACCAAAAAATAGCCAGACATTGTGGCCGGCGCCTGTAATCCCAGCTACTTGGGAGGTGGAGGCAGGAGACTCCCTTGAGCCCAGGAGTTGGAGGTTGCTGTGAGCTGTAATGCCATAGCACTGTACCCAGGGTGACAGCTTGAGGCTCTGTCTCAAAAAAAAAAAGAGCAGGGGGTCCTAGTGGCTGGGTAAACCTTTTAGCCCTGGATTGGGGGAGGGGTGAATGACAGGCACTTCTAGGCAGGGCGCCTTACTGACTAGCAGAGGGCAGCCAAATAGCTTACCATGCCTACCTCTGTGCACCCATCTCACTCCCAGCACCCTCAAGACTGAACCTGGAGTTTGGGCTGCCAACCCAGGGCCATAGAAGGCTGTGGACAGGGCCCCCAACTTCCTCATATTTTAGAGGGGACCCCTGCTATACACGTGAGGACCAGCCACCCTGCTTGGATACCATCAAACATCATGGTTCCAGGGAGAAGGTGTAAAGCAGTGGAAATGCTGCTCCACTGCTGGTGGAATGGCAGCACAGAGCCATTTGGGAGGGATCCCCTATTCCATGTCAGGGTTGGAACATGGGGATCTGCAAAGACAGAGACCAGATCTGCAGATGCATATAGCCCCTGGGGCCTCGTAAACCAGATTCCAGGCACTCTTGGCGTGACTACTACAAGTCCTACTCCCCAAGGGCTGGTGCAGGGAAGCTCTGCTGAGGATGAACGCCTGGCCTAGGGCCCTGAGTTCTTAGGAAAACAGCACCATATTAGTACTTGGCCTGAGACTGGGGTAGGCAGGCTGCAGGAGGTGAGCCCCCTTCCTGCTGGATCCCAGATGGCGCCCCACAACCCACATGCCTTTCAGCCCCTCTTCACACATCTGTTGGCTCTTGCCAGGCTGGGGACCTTACTTGGAACCTTGGAGGAGGCAAGATTGCTAAGGAGAATGTCATAGCAAGGTGGGTCTTCGGGGGTACACAGCAGACCCAGCCACCAGCCTGGTAGGCAGAGCTTCTGGGTTAGCTTAACACCTCTCCTAGTCGTTCACACTTGTCCCTGCCCTGGCTGGGCCCCAGAGCCATTCAAACTGTGCCTGGCACCTGCATCCTTAGCACAGCCCCATGAAGGTTCTTTCATCCCTCCTGCTTTATGACAAGGATGCTTAGGCATACATCACCTGCTGCCCCAGCTCAGGAGGCTGAGTGGAAGAGCTAGATCTGCTGGGCTGCTGGACATTGGCATCCCCGTTACCCGTGTGACCATCTGAGAGCATGTGCAGGCCTCAGGAGGTGCCCACTATCAGCTGCGAGCATCCTACTCCTGTGTGACCTTTCCAAGAGTCCTCATCATCCTTGCAAAAAGGTCCCTTTTCCTCTCCCATATTCCATCACTGCCTACAGACTCCAGGGCAGTCCACGAGTGGGTCCCTCAGGTAGACCCTAAGCTCACAGGGAAGTCAGACTGTGGGATCTAACTCAGGAGTCAGGCGTCTGTGTTCAAGTCCCAATCCTGCCACTTCCTGGCTATAGGAACTAGCCCAGCAATCTGCCCCATCTCTGGCCTCAGTTCCCTCATCTGTGAACCTGGAGTTACTTTGGTACCTGCCCACCAGGCAGCTATCAGGATGCGGGTAGGAGTGACACCAGTTAAGCCCTTAGAGCAGTGTCTGGCTCAGGGTGGCCCTGGAGCATCACCTCCAACTGCTCCTACTGTCCCAATGCCCCCATAACATTTTCACTGTGACTGCTATAAATACCTGGCCAGATGTCTGTCTGGTACATCAGTGGCCAATCCATCCTGAATGCTTTTTTTTTTTTTTTTTTTGAGACAGAGCCTCAGGGTATTGCCCTGGGTAGAGTGCGGTGGCTTTACAACTCACAGCAACCTCCAACTTCTGGGCTCAAGCGATTCTCCTGCCTCCGCCTCCCAAGTAGCTGGGGCTACATCCTGAATGCTTATTGAGTGACTACAACATCAGACAGTTGGCAGGACTGACAAAGTAGCAGCCCCCTGAACGCATTAGCCTCTACTCCTTCTCCTCCCTCCTGGCTCTAGGGCACACACAGAACTTGAAGAATCATGATGGCCAGGATCTGTGGCAGCTGCTTTATTTAAGGGCCTGTTACTGACAGTTGTACCTGACCCTCCACAAAGGCAGCTGACATGAAATTAGGCTTCCCAGTTAGCACAGGGGAGCTGGCTGCCTGACAAGGCCCAGTCAAGGGACCTTGTTGACAGTGGCTTTGAATCCCAGGCCATGGGCATCTGAAGGTGGGGAAGGTCAGGAAGTCCAGGTGAGGTGCTGGTGAGGTGGGTGAGAAGTCCCAAATGGTCCCGCTCTAGCCTCTCCCAGGCTTCCCTTGCCCAGAGTGTCAGGAAACTGCTCCTCCCAGGAGCTGGGGGGATCTGGGGCTAGAGAAGGGAGCAAGACAGAGGCTTCTGGGGCCAAGTGAGGCCAGTTCAGGCCCCTCAGGCCCAGAAGCCCCTTAACACCCAAGCATAAGCACACCCCCACAGCTAATAGGCAGTCCCCCAAACTCACACCAACTTCCACTCCATCAACACACACGGAGGGCTGTGATAACCCTGGACCCACACCCTGAACCCCTAGAATGTCTCTGGTGTGGAACCCTGGGGGTAGGTCCACGGCAGGCAGGGCTGCCCAGGGGGTGGGCCTTCTGCATTGCTACTGATTGGCCGCCTCGCAGGCATCTATCCAATCGCTGTACACATCCACGGGTTCTGACAGATCTGAGCCACTTATGTCAAGGGTGACTGGAGGCATTAGAGCCCTGCCCTGTAACTTCTCTTCCAACCCCACCCTCCATCAATCAGTCAGTGACTACCTGGTCCTCTGGGTAGCCACAGCCCTGTACTAAAGTATAGAGTAAAGCCAGAGGGGCAGAAGCTGCATTCCAGTCCCTCACCATTGGCCAGGTGTCCCAAGCAGGCATAGCAGGCATAGCAGCCCTGGCCACCCTTTCCTCACCCCCTAGAAAAATCCTGGTTTTCCAAGGATACATGTGATGGGCGTCTGAAATTCCTCTAGGCACACGGTACAAGAGATGACTCCAGTATTGCGGGCACGGTCCCTGAAATAGGAAGAGGCAGAGGGACTGGTGAGCAATGAGCCTGAACCTGTGGGTGACACTGCCCCAAGCAGGGAGGTAAGGGGCAGAATGAGGGATGGCGGGGAGAAGGGAGTGGGGAGCTCTGGGTACCCCATGAGGCAAGATCCCACACCTACTTCCTCACTTACATTTTCACGTCACAAGATTTCTCATGGTTGCAGAAGGGGCAGGTAAACTGGGTCTCAAGGGTCCCCGTCATCTTCTTCTTGGGTGGTGGCTTCCGTTTTGACTTTCTGCGTCCCATGTCTACAGGTACGTGGACCTGCAGGGTTGGGGCAAAAGTCAGTGGCTCATAGTGTTGTGCCACCCTACTTGGTGCTCCAGGAAGCAAGCCTGAAAGAGGGCCTGGCAGCAGCCCATTGTAGGGAGGGGACATGCAAAATGGCATCCAAGCCTCCACCTCTGAGGGATGAGGCTTGCAGTCCTTGGGCAGGACAATCCCAATGTGCTCTGGACAGGAAGGATGAGAAGAGGCTCTAGCCCTGGCACCCCCTACTCATAGCATGTCCAGGGCAGGTTACCTAAGCTCTCTGTGCCCCAGTTGCTTCAGCTACACAATAGAGAAGAGATCACTATCTCAGAGGCATCTTGTCAGGCTGGTGTAAGGAATGCAAATGTAAGTTAAAGGCTTAGCACAAGGGTACATCTCATCCATTGTTGGCACCTGTACTAGGAAGTCATTGTTCCTAGAGGGGTGATACACAGACTACAGGCTAGATCAGGCCAGGTCAACAGGGCAGTGCTGAGCAAAGCCTAAGTGCATAGGGGCTGGTGATTTTATTCTGACTGGTCCTCTTGTAGGGAAACGTGCAGAAGTTGCCTTTCCACAAATGACAGGCTGCTAGACAGAGAAGTAGGTGGGAGGGTTCTAGATGTTTGGGATGGGTCTTGGAAGCCATGAGGAGTAAAAGGATAAAATCACTACATGCTTTGTAGGGATGGAAGCATGAGAATCACAAGTCTGGGTAAAGATGAAGGCAGAGCCAGGGCAGGAGAAAGGGTGAAGAGATAGAAGAGAAAACAGGTGCGGTGGCTCATGTCTATATAATTCCAGCACTCTGGGAGACTTGAGGCGGGTGGACTGCTAGAGCTCAGGAGTTCAAGACCAGTCTGGGTAAGACCCCCGTCTCTACCAAAAATAGAAAAACCAGCTGGGTGTAGTGGCACATGCCTGTAGTCCCAGATACTTGGGAGACTAAGGCAAGAGGATTGCTCAGGCCCAAGAGTTTAAGGTTGCTGTGAGCTATAATGACAGCACTTAACCCAGGGCAACAGAGACAGACTGTCTCAAAGAAAAAAAAAAAGAGACAAGTCAACAGAGTGGGACAGGTCACAGTTGGTGGGTATAGAGAGAAGGTGACACAGGAAGGACAAGGGGTTGAGGAAAATGATAGGGGGATCATGTGGCAGAGGGACATCTAGGGACAGATTTTGTAGACAGCTGGGTAAGGAAATAGCAGCAGTTACCACTGAGCACAACTCCCATGCCAGAGACTGTGTTCATGGCTCTGCGTTTGCCACACCTGATCCTCCCAAGGTGGCTCCACAGACACATACCACACCACTGGTTCTAGCACTGTTCCTCCACAATGGGGCAGGTCAGCAGCCTACTAGGTTGCCCAGAATCAAGAGCAGAGTTTCATTCATAATTAGTGATAATTCCCTATGGAACAGCCTCTTAACTATGTGGTTCCGATTTACTGAGTAAAAAGAAGAGATCATTAGCCGGGTGTTGTTGCCCATCTACTCAGGAGGCTGAGGCAAGAGAGTCGCCTAAGCCTAGGAGTTGGAGATTGCTGTGAGCTGTGACACCATGGCATTCTACCGAGGGTGATAAAGTGAGACTCTGTCTCTACCAAAAAAAAAAAAAAAAGGAAGAAATCAGAAGAGAGCACCTAGGACCATCCACTTGGCCTTCTCTCTTTTACTAAGGAAGTATGCCAATGTCTGTTTCCCACAAAACAACTTCTTCACTCTGCCCTGGATGCTGTCCCCCTTTCCGTCAGCAACATCAAATTTTCAGCTCTACTGGATACTGACACAGTTGTTGTTACTTTTCTCATCATTTGACAAGGAAAAAAAACACCTCTTCTAGCTACTACCTGTTTCTCTGTGGATGTTTCTAGTGTAAAACTGCCTTTTCTCCTATTCTCTCCTGTACCCCTCATCCACGCCCCCTCCCTACTAAGGTCACCAATGGCTCCATAATGCCCCCTCCGCCCCTCCTCTCACCCTGGCCATATGGCTTTCAGGACCCCACACTTTTCCACACTATCTCACTGGTGGCTTTCAGCTTCCTTAGCTCCTGCTTCTCCATCAACTTCTTTAATAATAAGAGAGCCCAGGAGCTCAGTTTTTGAATTTCCCTACTCTGGAGATCTAACCCAGTCTCAGGGTGTCATACCTCCTCTACACTGATGTCTCCCCTGGACTTGCTGGTCTACCTGCCTCAGCCATACCTTCACTTGATTTCTCTTCTTTTTTTGAGACAGAGTCTCATTATGTCACCCTCAGTAGAGCGCTCTGGTGTCACAGCTCACAGCAACCTCCAACTCTTGGGCTTAAGTGATTCTCTTGCCTCAGCCTCCCAAGTACCTGGGATTACAGGCACCTACCACAACACCTTGCTATTTTTCTTTTTAGAGACAGAGTCTCACTTTGTTGCCCTTGGTACAGTGCAGTGGCATCACAGCTCACAGCAACCTCCAGCTCTTGGATTTAGGCAATTCTCTTGCCTCAGCCTCCCGAGTAGCTGGGACTATAGGCGCCCGCCACAACACCCAGCTATTTTTTGGTTGCAGTTGGGCCGGGGCCGGGTTTGAACCCGCCACTCTCGGTATATGGGCACCGGCACCCTACTCACTGAGCCACAGGCACTGCCCAACACCTGGCTATTCTTTTGTTGTTGTCATTGTTGTTTAGCAGGCCCGGGCTGGGTTTGAACCCACCAGTGTTGGTGCATATGGCCAGTGCCCTAACCACTAAGTCACAAGCACCGAGCCCATTCACCTGATTTCTTAACAAATGTTTATAACAGCATGCCCAAAATCAAACTCCTGATGCCTCAACCTTCTCTCCTGCGGACTTACTCAGCTCAACTAATAGCAACTCCATCTTTTCAGGTAATCAAATCAGAAACCTCAAACTCAGGCTTGGCACCTGTAGCTCAAGTGGCTAGGGCACCAGCCACATGCACCAGAGCTGGCGAGTTTGAATCCAGCCTGGGCCCGCCAAACAACAATGACAACTACAACCAAAAAATAGCCAAGTGTTGTGGCAGGCACCTGTAGTCTCAGCCACTTGGAAAGCTGAGGCAAGAGAATTGCTTAAGCCCAAGAGTTTGAGGTTGCTGTGAGCTGTAACGCCACAGTACTCTAACCAGGGCGACAGCCTGAGACTCTGTCTCAAAAAAAAAAAGAAAAGAAAAGAAAAGAAAAGAAACCTCAAACTCATATTCAATGCCTTTCTCTCACTTCCCTTGTCATATCCTGCCCCTGCCCTTGCTCTTTTACCTGAGAAATATGCCCAGAATCTGACCCCTTCTCACCAACTCCAGGACCAGTACCAGGGTCTGAGTCAGGGTTGTCTCAGCCTCCTCATTGGTCTCCCTGTGTCTCTAATTTCACCCACCACTGTCCAAATGTAAATTCCAGGAGAGCAGATATTTTTGTCTTTTCTTTGTATATTCAGAGCCTAGAACTATTCGTTCACAGCACGGAGGTGATGCTTAACAAATCTGCTGAATGAATGAATGAGTGGGCAAATTACAGGTCCTTTGTTGATTGATACTGATGCTGCAGTCAACAAAGCAGGCCAGGAATCTATTCCGGTGGAGGATGACTGACCCTTAACAAGCAAACTCATAAGCAAAATGATCACAAATATTTCTTAGTGCAATGAGGTTAATAAAATCGGTTAAGTGAACATTTCAGAGCAGGGATACCTCACATAAGAGGCAATCAGAGAGACCCTTTCTGGGTGTCACTTAACTGAGGCCTAACCGATGAGAGAAGGCAGCTATACAAAAGGCCCCAAGGCAGAATAAGCTTTTTTCTAGAAAAAGACTAGTGTGGGCTCAGCGCCTGTGGCTCAATTGGCTAAGGCGCCAGCCACATACACCTAAGGTGGCGGGTTCGAATCCCCAGCCTGGGCCGCCAAACAACGATGGCTGCAACCAAAAAATGGCCGGCGCTGTGGCGGGTGCCTGTGGTCCCAGCTACTTGGGAGGCTGAGGCAGGAGACTCTCTTGAGCCCAGGAGTTGGAGGTTGCTGTGAGCTGTGATGCCATGGCACTCTGCCCAGGGGGATAGCTTGAGGCTCCGTCTCAAAAAAAAAAAAAAAAAAAAAGAAAAAAGAAGAAGACTAGTATGGCTGCAGCCCAGTGAGCAATGGGGAGAAAGGTACAAGATGCAAAATAAGGGGACCGCATCAGCCAGAGTTCAGGAGACCCAGAAGGCAGAGCAAGTGAAATGCAGCTTTGTATGCAGCCCATCCTCTCACCTGCCAGGGCAAGTCTGCCCTGCCCTTCAAAGCCTGGTCCCCATGACTAGCTGCAAGAGAACCACCTGCCGATGGGGTGGAGATGCTTGAAAATGCACATCTTTGAACCTACCCCCAGATCTCCCCACTAGAATGTCAGTTGTGTGCAGACATGTTTTAGCCATTGCTGAATCTCCAATATGTGATTGTCTGGTATACATCAAGCGCTTAAAAACGATTCGTTGACTGAATAGATAAGTCTCCTGAACATAGATGTCTCTCATCTATGAATGGGCTCCAGATTCTCTCATTTTACCCTGTGGCCATAGCCACACACGACAGGAATGGGTCTGGTTTGCGCAGACTCCAGAGGCCTCGGCCTTTCTCGGGGGCAACGTTAAAAGTACTCCAAAGGGGGATGGAAGAATGTCCTTTGATGGGACACAAGAGGCGGCGGGTTGGCGGTTCCTTCAGGCTCACCGGAGTTTCAGCGTTACTTCCAGCCAGCCGCCCAGGTGCCTGAGTAGCCGCGCTTAGAGAGCTGGGGTCTGGAAAAGTCAGTCAACCCGACCGAACGCCCCCAAACCCGCAGCCTGTGGCGCCTCCTTCAAGACTCCATGAGCGGCTTCAGTAGGAAAGCGCCCACTCTAGCCCGGCCCGAACCCAACGCCTGCCCGCGCGAAACGTCACCTGCACTCGCCTTCCCTCGTTGCAAAGGCCGGTTCACCCGGGAGACAATGACATCCGGTTTCAGGCGGAAGCGGAAATCCCTTTCTTTTCAGGTCCCGCCCACCCGCGACCAGGACTGCCTGTCGAGCAAGCTCCGCCCTCTTTAGCGGCTTCTTTGTGCGCTTGCGTACTCCGATTCCGAGTTTGGCGGCTGGTTCTCGGTGCGCCTGCGCGAGAGTTGGATCCTATTTACGCTTGTTTTGTTCATGGCCACTACTTCTGGTCAGTACCCAGGATGGGCGGTTTCCGTGCTTCAGGACCTGTGAGCTGGGAAGGCAGCCTCATCATCAACTGCACCATCTTCCTGGGCATGTCTCACTTGTGTTCTCTCCTCTCCCATTTCCAACCCCAGCCCTCCCAGCACACCTAGGTATCTCCCACCTTGGAAACTCTTTAAAATTCAGTTCTAATTTTAGCAGGTCAGAAGGGGGATCCAAGAGCCTGCATTTCTACCTCGCTCCCAAGTGATGTCCATGTAGCTGGTCCGCGGACCACACTTTGAGTGCCCAGGTAATAACAGATGACGTTGGTTAGGCAGGCAGGGTCCAGATCACAGTGGGGTCTTGTGGGCTATGGTAAGGAATTTTATTAGATTTTTGAGCAGAGAAGTGATGTTTGGTTTGTGTTTTAAGGAACCCATTTCTGTGCTGAGTGGAGAATAGTTGGAAGAGGGGACTAGCAGACCGGTTTGAAGGCCATAGCAATAGTTGGATGAGAGGTGATGCTGGCCTGGGCATTATTAATGGATGAAGCCAAGCTCTGTTTTTGGAGCTGGAAGAGTGGGGCAAGACCCACAATTCCCACAATCTATTGAAGAGTCCGGACTTAAATATAAAGAATCAATTAGGACACTTAAGTGCAGTAGTGAAGGATGTGTACGTTTCAGGGCTCAGAATGCTGGAGGGAGATTCTAAATTAGCCTGAGGTGGCCAGGTGCAGCACCTCAGGGCTGTAATCCTAGCACTCTGGGAGGCTGAGGTGGGTGGATTGCTTGAGCTCAAGCCTGAGCAAGAGGGAGGCATTGTAGCAGGTACCTGTAGTCTCAGCTACCTCGGAAGCTGAGGCAAGAAGATTGCTTGAGCCCAGGAGTTTGAGGTTGCTGTGAGCTGTGACACCATGGTGCTGTGTCTCTCTCAATGAGTCAATCAATCAAACAATCAATCAGTCAAATAAACTAACCAGAGGCCAGCTACGGTGGTTCATGCCTATCATCCTAGCACTTTGGGAGACCAAGCTGTGTAGGGCAGATCACTTGAAGCCAGGAGTCTGAGACCAGTCAGACAACATAGTAAGACCCTGTCTCTAAAAATAGAAAAAATAAAAACCTAGTCTGAGGCTCGGCGCCTATAGCTCAACCGGCTAAGGCGCCAGCCACGTACACCTAAGGTGGCAGGTTCGAATCCCCAGCCCGGACCCGCCAAACAACAATGACGGCTGCAACCAAAAAATAGCCAGGCGTTGTGGCGGGCGCCTGTGGTCCCAGCTACTTGGGAGGCGGAGGCAGGAGACTCGCTTGAGCCCAGGAGTTGGAGGTTGCTGTGAGCTGTAATGCCACGGCACTCTACCCAGGGGGACAGCTTGAGGCTCTGTCTCAAAAAAAAAAAAAAAAAACCTAGTCTGAGAGGTGAGGAGATTTCCCTGGAGTGGGGGGACCAATGCTCAAGTTAAAACCTGAAGCCTGAGCCAGTTTTAAACAGGCAAAGGTAGGTCCAATAAAACTTAGGATGGAATGGCTCAGCACCTGTGGCTCAAGTGGCTAAGGTGCCAGCCACATACACCTAAGGTGGCAAGTTCGAATCCAGCCCAGGCCCACCAAACAACAATGATGGCTGCAACCAAAAAAAATAGCCAGGCGTTGTGGCGGGCACCTATGGTCCCAGCTACTTGGGAGGCGGAGGCAGGAGACTCGCTTGAGCCCAGGAGTTGGAGGTTGCTGTGAGGCCACGGGCACTCTACCCAGGGGGACAGCTTAAGGTTCTGTCTCAAAAAAAAAAAAACAAAACCAAAAAAACTTAGGATGGAGTAAAGGACAAAGCACAGTCAATGTTGAGTCTTGCTATCTACAAAGAACCCTAGGTGCTGCCTCTTACTCAGAGGAGGAAGACTCAGGGAGGTAACAGGAGGGGAAGGACGTTAAAGGTTGTGTTCGGGCCTTGGCCCTGATATTCGTGAAACAAACAAAAGGAAGTGTGAATCAGAGCATTGTACTTGGGAGTTTAGAGCTTGGGAGAAAGATCTGGGTGGAATTTTGAGAGTCAGTATGTGTCTCAGAGTTTGAGGAACATGAAGAAAGATAATTAACAATTGAGTTTGGCAAGTGTTTGGTCATTGGGGATTCTGATAGAGCTGTTACATTAGAGTTTTCAGAAAAATAATTTCAAATTTATTTCAAATATAGATGCTTCTTTTTTTTTTTTTTTGAGACAGAGCCTCAAGCTGCCCCTCTGGGTAGAGTGCTGAGGCATCACAGCTCATAGCAACCTCCAACTCCTGGGCTCGAGCAAGTCTCCTGCCTGAGCCTCCCAAGTAGCTGGGACCACAGGTGCCTGCTACAACACCCGGCTATTTTTTTGGTTGCAGCCGTGATTGTTGTTTGGTGGGCCTGGGCTGGATTTGAACCCACCACCTTAGGTGTAGGTGGCTGGTGCCTTAGCCACAGGCGCCGAGCCTAGATGCTTCTTGACTTATGATCTGGCTACATTGTCATAAACCCATCATAAAGGTCAAAAATCTTCAAGCAGAACCATCATAAGTGGAGGACTGTCTGTAGAGAAATCTCCAGGATGTCTCCTAGGGGGCAGTGTTACCCTTGAAACTACCCTTATGGAGATCATTTCACGGCTGGTACAATCTACAATGCACACAGAATGGTATCATATTGTACAGTTACCCTGCAACTTGCTATTTCCACTTACTGGTCTGTACACATACAGGTAACTTGTTTATAGTGCGACTCTGCCATAGTGCATCCAGCTATTATCCTATGGGACAAGCCTAGGATCTTTCAGATATTTGCTACTGTGATAATTGCAGGACAAGTCCTTGGACCAACATCCTTGAGACTGGATCTTTATTATGAAGGATGGTTTTTCAAAAATGATATTTCTGGGCTCGGTGCCTGTGGCTCAAGCGGCTAAGGCACCAGCCACATACAGCTAAGGTGGCAGGTTCGAATCCAGCCCGGGCCTGCCAAACAACAATAATGGCTGCAACCAAAAAATAGCCGGGCGTTGTGGCAGGCGCCTGTGGTCCCAGCTACTTGGGAGGCTGAGGCAAGAGACTCGCTTGAGCCCAGAAGTTGGAGGTTGCTGTGAGCAGTGAAGCCATTGCACTCTACCCAGGGGGACAGCTTGAGGCTCTGTCTCAAAAAAAAAAAAAAAAAAAAAGAAATTTTTGGGTCACAGGGAATATGTAATTTTTAATTTGCCTATGATCACCACATTAGTTTTCCTTCTTTCTCTCCTCCCTCCCTTCCTTCCCTTTCTTCCCAGCTTTGCTGAGACATAATTGACTAAACAAATATGAACTGGTCACATTTAAACTATGGAATTGCATGTTTTGGCATATGTGTGTGCCTGTGAACTATCCCCACAATCAATCAGTGAATATATCCATCACCCTAAGTAAGAAAGTTCCTCGTGCTCCTTTGTGCTACTTTTTTTTTTGCAGTTTTTGGCTGGGGTTGGGTTTGAACCCGCCACCTTCGGTATATGGGGCCGGTGCCCTACTCCTTTGAGCCACAGGCGCTGCCCTGTGCTGCTTCTTTACCTCTCTAGACCCTGGCCCCAACTGATCTGTGTTTGGTCAGAACATCCACATGAACAGAATCATACAATGTGTAGCATTTTGAGTTTGGCTTCTCAGCTTGAGACCCATCTATGTTATTTTATATTTCAGTAGTTTGTTCCTTTTTTATTTTTGTTATTTATTTGTTTATTTTTGAGATAAAATCTCACTTTTTCACCCTTGATAGAGGGCCATGGCATCATAGCTAACAGCAACCTCAAACTCTTGGGCTCAAGTGGTTCTCTTCTTCAGCCTCCCAAGTAGCTGGGACTACAGGTGCCTGCCACAACACCCAGCCTTTTTTTTTTTTTTGAGACAGTCTAACTATATCACCCTTGGTAGAGTGCTGTGGTATCACAGCTCACAGAAACCTCAAACTCTTGGACTTAAGCGATTCCCTTCCCTCAGTCTCCCAAGTAGGTGAAACTGCAGGTACCTACCACAACACGTGACTATTTTTTGGTTGCAGTTGTGATTGTTGTTTAGCAGGCCTGGGCCAGGCTAGAACCCTCCAGCCTTGGTGTATGTGGCCGGTGCCCTACTCACTGCGCTATGGGCATCGAGCCAACACCCAGCTATGTTTTTTTTTTTTTTTTTTGAGACAGAGCCTCAAGCTGTCACCCTGGATAAAGTGCTTTGGCATCACAGCTCACAGCAACTTCCAACTCCTGGGCTCAAGCGATTCTCCTGTCTCCGCCTCCCAAGTAGCTGGAATTATAGGCACCTACCACAGCACCTGACTATTTTTTGGTTGCAGTTGTTATTGTTTAGCGGGCCCACACTGGGCTGGAACCCTCCAGCCTTGGTATATGTGGCCAGTGGCCTACTCACTGAGCTATGGGCATTGAGCCAACACCTAGCTATTTTTAGAGACAGGTTCTCACTCTACCTTAGGCTGGTCTCAAACTCCTGAGCTCAGGCAATTTACCTGCCTCAGCTTCCCAGGGTGCTAAGATTATAGGCATGAGCCACCATGCCCGGTCTTAATAATAATAATAATAGTAATTATTATCAATATTTTTGAGACAGAGTCTCACTATGTCACCCTCAATGACCCACTATGTCACAGCTCACAGCAACCTCAAACTCTTGGGCTTAAGTGATTCTCTTGCCTCAGCCTCCCAAGTAGCTGGGATTACAGGCACCCGCCACAACGCCCGGCTATTTTTTGGTTGCAGCCGTCATTGTTGTTTGGCGGGTCCGGTCTGGGGATTCGAACCCGCCACCTTAGGTGTATGTGGCTGGTGCCTCAGCCCGTTGAGCTACAGGCGCCGAGCCCACCTAGCTATTTTTTGGTTGCAGTTGTTGTTTAGCTAGCCCTGGCTGGGTTTGAACACACCAGCCCCAGTGTATGTGGCCAGCACCCTAACTGCTGAGCTATGAGTGCCAAGCCAATATTAATAATTATTGTTAGAGACTATCTCACTCTGTCACCTAAGCTAGAGTGCAGTGGTGTCCTTGTAGCTCACTGCAAGCTCTAACTCTTGGGCTCAAGCGATCCTCCTGCTTCAGCCTCCTGGATTGCTAGGATTGAAGGTGTGCCCCGCTTGTTACTGAGTTATAGGATGTATTACACTTTATTCTTTTGCTTGTTGATGACTTGTTGCATTGCTTGCTTCCAGTTTGGGGCAATCATGAATAGAACTGCTATGAGCCCTCAGAGCCTTTCAAGTGAAAGTTGGCAGAGGATGCTGCCCCAAGATATGCCACTCTAGTATACAGATTATTTTGAGCACTTGAAATACAGCAGGTACAAGAAAGGTACACTGACCTCCCTCTTTTCTTCCTAAAATGGAACATGGAAGATGTTCTCCTTATATTAGAAGGAAAATAATATTTTTTTCCATAGGAAGACCAGGAGTCAAAACAGAGAAAAATCTGTACAAACAAACCTTGTTAAGCTGATTTTTTTTGTTTTTTTGAGACAGAGCCTCACTGTGTCACCCTCGGTAGAGTGCCATGGTGTCACAGCTCATAGCGACCTCAAACTCTTTGGATTCAGTGATTCTCTTGCCTCAGCTTCCCGAGTAGCTGGGACTACAGGCCCCTGCCACAACGCCCAGCTATTTTTCTGTTACATTTATCAGTTACTTAGCTGGTTCAGGGTGGGTTTGAACCTGCCAGACTTGGTGTATGTGGCTGGTGCTGTAACCACTGTGCTACGGGTGCCGAGCCTGATTTTTATCTTCCTAGTTATTTTTCACCATTAACTAACTGCCCTTTTTTATATCACATTTTCATAATTTACTACTCTTTGTCCAGTTCACCTAAGTGTTTGTCTTTAATTCCTTTGGAAGGCTCCTGTATCCCATTAAATAAATTTGTATGCATTTTCCTGTTAATCTGTCTTGTGTCGGTTTAATTCTTAGACATAGCCAGAGACCTAAGAAGGCAGATGATGAATCCTGCCTCCCTTCCACAAGTCTTTGTGTGGATGTTCATTCTAGTCTTTTCCTGTGATACTGTGATTTATTTTTACACTGAAGTATTTGATTCCTCTGGAATTTATTTTTGTATATGGTCTAAAGTGGCATTCAGGATTTATCTTTTTCCAGGCAAATTGACAAGGCAAATATGCACCTTTTTTTTTCTGTGAAGTTGGAATGCAATGCCACCTTGAACCTAAATCATGTTTTATTTTTATTTTTTATTTTAAGAGATGTGGGCATGTGTCTCACTTTGTCGCCCAGGCTGGAGTGCAGTGCTGTGATCATAGCTCACTGTAGCCTCGAACTGAGCTTAAGTGATCCTCCAGCTTCAGCCTCCTGGCTGGTCCTTTGTGCTCAGTAAAAGTGCTTTGGCATGGAGGAGCTGGTGGCCTGGTTTACGATCCCCACCCCTAACACTTATCCCCTGTGTGACAATGAATGTATCACTTCTTCTTTCTATACTTTAGGCTCTGGGAACAGGGATGTTGGGTTAAGGTGATCTCTGATTCAGTCCCCTGCCTGCCTGGAGCTTCTGAGTCAGTGGGAAGAGGAAGGATGGCCAAGAGCTCCCTAGACAGTTGTGGTTAAGATTGAGGGCCTACCACTCCTTAGGCATAAGCCCAGTAATGCCACTTGATCTGTCCCATCTAAGAGAAATATTGTACCAAAAATAAAACAAAAAAACAAACCCACACTGACCAGGTTTTGGTAATGTCCTCTGAGAAACAAGGATGATTTTAGCCCCTGTCTCAAAGGTCAACATCAGAAGTGATGGTAAATGACAGCTGGAACAAACTCAGGGCTGGCACTTTGGTCAGCCACTTGTAACAAACACAACAGTATCAACATCTGCAAAGTAGCAAGTGGAAGATGCCTTACACTAAGTTCCTCTCTCCAGAAGTAACCTCAGTTATGTGTTTTTTCTTTAAACAGTGTCTCACTCTATCACCCAGGCTAGAGTGCAGTAGTACTATCATAACTCATTGCAGCCTCAAACTCCTAGATGCAGGTGACCCTCCTGCCTGAGCCTTCCAAAGTGCTGGGAATACAGGCAACTGCATTCAACCCGCAGTTATGTTATGTTTGTTCTGGCTTCATTTCACTTGGCCAGGCAGGCAGCTGGAGCCTCACAACCCAGTCCCTGCTGAAGTGGTGGTTGAGCGTCACCATGGGAGCAGTTGCTGTGACTTGCCCAGTGCTAATAGCTTGGGCTATGTGTGGGTGGATATTACTCAACTCTCCCCCAGAAGGGAACTAGGATCCCCTGCAGCTGTCAACTCAGGACAAGCACTCAGCATTCTGCTTTCATCATAAAAGACCCTGAGAAATCCCACTTCCAGAAGTTTTCCTACATACATACTTTTACGGATGTACAAAAGGATTGTTGCAGGGATGTCCACTGAAGGCTTGTCAGTAAAAGGGAAAGATTTGAAAGATTTGCCCTCAAGGGGCACCAGCAAGGAGCCAGTGACATTAGGCAGAAGCCTGATGGGCTATCAGATGATTTGGTCCAAAGAATGAATTCTAATATATACTACAAACATGTCTGCACACGTACGAAAGACATTTTACAAGGTCATTGATTGCAGCATTGTTTGAGGATTGCAAAATTGTTGGACGCAATGCAGGTGACCCTCAGTACACAGCTAGTTAGTGGCTCAGCCACACACTGGGGTCTCCAAAGCCACAGGAAGAATGAAGGTCTCCCAAGGGATGACAAGACAGAGCTATGGGTGTAAAAACAAACCAATAAGATAGAAAAGGAAACTCTGGTGCTGAAGGAAATGCTGTATGTAATTTTTTTTTTTTTGAAGACAGTCTCACTCTGTCACCCAGGGTAGAGTGCCATGGCATCACAGCTCATAGCAACCTCAAACTCAGGCCAAGAGATGCTCTTGCCTCAGCCTCTCAAACAGCTGGGACTACAGGTGCCTGCCACAACACCCAGGTAGTTTTCTACTTTTAGTAGAGATGGGGCCTCTTTCAAACTCCTGAGCTTGGGTGATCCACCTGCCTCAGTCTCCCAGAGTGCTAGGATTATAGGTGTGAGCCACTGCACCCAGCCAATATGGTATATCTTGATTGTGGTGGTAAGTTTGTAGGTGTGTATCTTTGTCAAACTTTTCAAATTGGGCTGGGCACAGTGGTTAATGCCTGTAATCCCGATGCTTTTGGAGGATCACTTGTGCCTAGGAGTTCAAGGCTGAACTGAGCTATGATCAATTGTGCCACTGTACTCCTGCATGGGCAACAGACTAAGACCCCCTGACTCTGGAAACAAAAAAAAGCATGTTTCAGTTCAACAGAGAACTGGAGAGGAAAGAGTCCCATTTGTTTTCATTTGTACTTAAAAAATACTGAGGCTGGCTCAGCGCCTATAGCTCAACTGGCTAGGGCGCCAGCCACGTACACCTAGGTTGGTGGGTTCGAATCCGCAGCCCGGACCCGCCAGGCAACAATGATGGCTGCAACCAAAAAATAGCCGGGCGTTGTGGCGGGCGCCTGTGGTCCCAGCTACTTGGGAGGCGGAGGCAGGAGACTCGCTTGAGCCCAGGAGTTGGAGGTTGCTGTGAGCTGTAATGCCACGGCACTCTACCCAGGGGGACAGCTTGAGGCTCTGTCTCAAAAAAAAAAAAAAAAAAAAAAAAAAATACTGAGGCTGGCACCATGGCTCATGCCTGTAATCCTAGCACTCTGGAGGGCAGGAATTTGAGACCAACCTGAGCAAGAGCAAGATGCAGTCTCTACCAAAAATAGAAAAACCATCCAGGTATTGTGGTGGGTGCCTGTAGTCCCACCTAATAGGGAGGCTGAGGCATGAGGATTGCTTGAACCCAGGAGTTCAAGGTTGTAGTATGTAATGATTGGTCTGTGAATAGTCACTGCACTCCAGTCTGCCTAGAAGGATGCTGCCTCTGCCCCACCTCTAAAATAAATTTTTTAAAAAGGAAATGTTTTGATTATGGAAGAATAAACTGTAGAAGGAAAGAAGCTGACTAGTGATGGGTGACCCTGGGGAAGAGGGCACTGGGAGAATTGCAGGCTTGGTCTTCAGGGAATACTTGCCTCTGCCTTCTTTTTGCTGAGTTTTTACTTAAACGTCTGTGGATGAGGCTAGTTTGTTATGAGAGATGGACTCACAGAGGATACAACACACGTGTGACACTTGTGTAGCCTTGGCAACTATTCTTTTATTGAATGTCAGAGAAGAAAGATGCTTGATTCAGGAGGATGCTTTCCCTCCCTGCCTCCTAGTCTCCAAGCTGCAGCCACAGGGAGTGGCACTGCCACTGGGACACATGTCCATGCCTGTTTCATATATGGGAGCATCTGTGCCAGGGGGACCACATAGTGTCACAGCTCCTCTTTGTGGCCAGCACCACTGACCCAAGACAAAGCTTGCCCCAAGGTTCCCATGGGACCCACCCACCAGCAGTGGCGATCTCTTTCTGCCTCAGGCCAGGTGTCTCATAGGTGTTCAGGGCCTGGGTCGCCTTGGCAGGCTGGTCTTGAAAAGGGACTTGCCCGAGGCCTCAATGTAAGTGATGCTCATCTCTTTAGGGCTGATCTCCATGTAGGCAAAGCCACCCAGTGAATCCTCGGACCCATAGTGGAAGCGCAGGTAGCCATTGGGGACTTTGCGCTGGTGCCGTGTAGAGGGGTCCATGAAGTTTCCTGCCCCGCTGAGCACATAGCCCACACCGTTGTCATCCTGCAGGTACTGCAGACAGAGGGTGCGTGGTCAGTGGATCCCCCAGCCTTGAATTAGGGTTGACCAGGGGCTCCACTCACACCTGCCTCAGGTGCAGAACCAGGTCTGTCTCTGATCACAGGGTCACCTTGAGATACACAGCCCCTCCTGGCCTCAGTTTCCCAACCTACAGGAGTGTGTTAATCTTACTTCACAGGTAGAACACTTAGTTAGCAACTGGTGGATAATATTCTGGCTTTTGCGGGACTTTGCAAAAGTTTCTGGTTAGAAAGATAGAATTTGAGAGAGAATACAGACATTCAGAAGGCCACAGGAGGACCTCAGGCCTGCGGACATTGGCCAGGCTGTGGACTCCTCCCCTGAGTCCCCACAGGGCCCTCACCTGCAGATTATGATCATGGCCACACAGGTAGGCCGTGACCCCATACATGGCCAGCAGGGGTCGCAACTGCTTGACCAGGCAGCGGGTGGGCCCATGCTCGGCTATGGACCACACAGGGTAGTGGCCAGCCACAATCAGGTAGTCTTCCTTGGCTGCTGCTAGCTGTTTCTTGAGCCAGGACAGTTGTGTGCGGGCCACTGCCAGGTTTCGGGGCCTCTCAGGTTGCTGGCTGAGGAAGTCATCTGAATTGCCACATATTGTCACAGTGTCCAGCATGAAAATGGCCACAGACACATTGGTACGTGGGATCTTGAAGCGCAGGCGGTAATAAGGGCTAGGAAAATTCCTGTGGAGGGGAGGATAGAGGGTGTGGGTGCACATCTTGGGCACAAACGCTCCACGGTCAGTTAGCTCAAGCCACGGTGTCCTTTTGTCCCACTGAGCATGGGTTGGGAGAGGAGGACCTGGGGGAGGCTCACCAACGCTTGGAGATCTTGGAGTAGGCAATCTGTGCCGACACGTTGCCAAGGTGGTCATGGTTTCCAGCCAGCACATACCAGGGCACATTGCGAAGAGGGCGGTCAGAGAACACATCCTCAAAGGTCTCCTGCAGCAAACAGAATGGGCACCCCCAGCCCCAGCTGGTGTCAATAGCTACCCTGATGGTCCCACCGAGTCAAGGGCTGAGAAGAAGGGAGACACTGAGTGTTCCAGGTGCCCAAAGCTGCCCAATCATCTTCCCTCTTCCCACACCCAGAGGAAGATCACCAGGTCAAGTGGCTTCTCCTTACTGGCCCGCTCCATCCCCAGTGTTGGGCACAGACCTGGAACCTCTTGTCATTGGCATCCTGCACACCAGTGAAGTAAAAGTTGTCCCCCAACGATAGGATGAATTCTGCACCCAGGTTCTGCACAGTCCTGGCAATCTCCTTAGCATTGGCCATCTCCCGGGCCGTGTGGAATGGGGCATTAGGAACACCTCCCCAGTCACCCACAGCCACAAAGCGCAGGGCAGGGGTGGCACTGTGAGCCACGGAGAGTAGCAGCGAGGCTTGCACGATGAGCAGTGCTGGCGACGTGTCCATCTGGGAGGGGAGAGATGAGCACTGGGTTCTCCAGGCTGTAACAAGGGCAACAAGCCCTTGAATTCCTACCTGCCCTGCTCCAGCAGAGGGGAAGACCTTGGTGTCCTAGTTCCCGGGACACAGCTGCATGAGCTGGTTTAGGGGGATCTGTGGGCAGGCAGGCTCCATGGAGGGGGGGCAGGGGGGGAGGAAGGAAAGGTGGCCTTGCAGGCCTGTTCCACCGTCCCTCACTCCCTCACGCAGACCTGCCCAGCACTCACCTTGGGGAAGGCACAAGCCAGTCAGTGGGGATTCCGAGAGGCAAGTGGGCTCCAGGACAGAACTGGCAGTCACTGAGCCTTTATTTCTTGGGGAGGAAGCAGATCATTAGTGAGTATGATACAGTTTCTCCAAGGATTGTTCCAGGGGCCCTCCCCTTTGGGTCATGTGAGGCCTGAACTTCCCCACTTCTGGACACGGGATCAGGGCAGAAGTCTGGGCATACACATGCAGCAGCACCAGCCCACCCTGCCTCTGCTTCTAACTGAAGGGGCTTGTGTCTTGGGCCAGAGACGCCATGTGTATCTACATAGGTCTGTGTATTTATGTGTGTGTGTGTGTGCAGTATACAAGCCTGCAGCTCCTGTGTTATGTGCCCTCCCTCTCTGCGTGCTTGTCTGCATGCACCTGGGTGTGTCTGTTTTCTGTGTGCAGCTGAGTGTGGGTGCTTAGGTCCCTGCAGCTGTGTACTCTGAGCCTATGTGGCCTCTCTGTGACTCCTGCCTGACTTCTCATGTGGCTCCAGGTGGGAATCTCTGTGGATGGGGCTTTATAACTATAATTGACTGAGTTTCCATGTGTTTTGTCTGTGTTGTGTCTTAAAGGTGAGTAGTATGACTGGTGTGTGATGTGTGTTTGACCACATTGGAGTACAGGACTGTGTGTGTGTCTGGTCTCCTGCCCCCCAACCCCCACACAGCCCACTGACTCAGAAAAGGTAGCAGCCTCCCTTTTCCAGGAAGTCCCCTTCCTCTACCCCTAATTCCCACGCAGGAGGAACCTCAGCAGGAGACAGCTGGTGACAAGCCATGTGACAGCAGCCTTTGACCCTCACACCCTCAGCAGCTGCTAGCAGCCACCCCCAATCTCCCACGCCCTGCCATGAGACCAAAGCCTCCCAGAGAAGCGGGGAGGCTGAGCGCAGGCAGTGGGGCCCCTGCACCTGCCAGTCTGACCTGCTCCTCCTCAGAACTGGGCGCCGCGGGGACACCCCGGACGAGTCACTTCAGCCCTTGTCAGCGCAGATGGGAGCGCCGTCTTTCAACACCAAGGACACTGGCTCAGAGAAGGGCGGTGACTCGCCCGGGTCACACAGCACGTAGGTTTCCTGTTTGTCTCCCCCAACCAAGCCCCACAGCAGCGACAACCAGGAAGGAAGTGGGTGACCATGGAAGGCTGAGACCCCTCCTCCGGGGACGCGGCGCCGCGGAGGACCGCAGGAGTCTCACCTGCCGTCGGTGGGGCGGTGGGGTGGGGCGCTGTGGCAGGATCCCAGCTGCAGATCTGCCTCGCTGCTGATCTGGGCGGCCCCGACTTTAAGGCGGCGGCCCGCCAGTCCTGCCCCCGGGCCCGGGCCGGCCCAGGTGAGCCCGCGGAGGGCGGGCGCCTGGGCCTCCCCGCCCTGGCGCTGCCTCCAATCCCCTTCACGCCTCCTGGGCTCAGGCTCTGCATCTGTAAAATGGGCTGATGAACCCCAGCGGGCAGCTCAGACCCTTGGATTAGGGCTACCTGGGAGCCACTCTATTTCAATCCTTTGTTCACCCGAAGCTAGCAGAGAGACACTGCCTACCTGCCTGACTCTTAGGAGCCCACGGCCCCAGGTTGTATTCCTGCATTGGGTTAAACTGTGCCTGGCTTTTGTAAGAAAGTCTGTAATTTTCAACCTCAGTTTACTGGTCTTTAAAATGGTTGTGATGGGAGGGCGGCGCCTGTGGCTCAGTGCATTGGCCTCATATACTGAGGATGGATGGTTCTAACCTCCAGCTCTTGGGCTTAGGCAGTTCTCTTGGCTCAGCCTCCCGAGTAGCTGGGACTACAGGCATCCCCCACAATGCCCGGCTATTTTTTGGTTGCAGTTCGGCGGTGCTGGGTTTGAATCCGCCACCCTCGGTATATGGGGCGGGCGCCCTATTCACTGAGCCACAGGCACCATCCCCAAAAAGTCTTATAATTGCCTTGCTCCGGTAGCGCCTGTGGAGTTGGAGGTTGCTGTGTGATGCACTCTACTGAGGGTGATAACGAGTCTCTGTCTCGACAAAAAAACAAAACAAAACAAAACAAAACACTTCTCCTTTTTATCTCTGGTCAAAAAGTTCTGGTCTACAGGTACCTTTCTAATTGGTCAGTTTGAATCAAGCAGGAGAAGCAAATTTGGACTTTTACAGAACTGTGGACTTTTTTTTTTTTTGGCCAGGGCTGGGTTTGAACCCATCACTTCTGGCATACGACGGGGCCAGCGCCCTACTCCTTTGAGCCACAGGTGTTGCCCCAGAACCGCGGACTTTTACAGAAGTGGAAGCAAGTGTTAGTTTCCAGGTCCCATGAAGTTTTTACAGATTCCTAAGAGCTGAGTCACCACAGGGAGGACCTCACAAGTGTATCTTTGGGGTCTCCTTGAGAAGACCGCTGTTCTCTTAGACCTCACTTTTTCCAGGTATCATCTTTCATTCTGAGTAGCTAGAACTAGGCTGGGTGTGGTGGCTCATGCCTGTAATCCTAGCACTCTGGGAGGTTGAGGCAGGTGGATTGCTTGAGCTCACAGTTTGAAACCAGCCTAAGCAAGAGTGAGACCCTGTCCACTAAAAATAGAAAAACAGGCACGAGGATCTCTTGAGCCGAAGAGTTGGAGATTGCTGTGAGCTATGATGATGCCATGGCACTCTACCCTGGGCGATAGCTTGAGACTATCTCAAAAAGAAAAGAAAAGAAAAAGACATGAGCCAAATAACTGGGCCTACAGGAGCCCGCCACCACATTCAGCTAGTTTTCTATTTTTACTAGAGATGGGAGTCTCACTCTTGCTCAGGCTGTTCTAGAATTCCTGAGCTCCAGTGATCCACCTAGCCTCCCAGAGTGCTAGGATTATAGACACTGGGCTCAATTTTGCCCATTTAAAAATCAGTGTGTTGGGTGGTGCCTGTGGCTCAAGGAGTAGGGCACCAGCCCTTATACCGGAGGTGATGGGTTCAAACCCAGCCCTGGCCAAAAACTGCAAAAAACCATTATACCACTACTATTTCCTGCAATAACAGAAAAATTAATCATAAAAAAAAATCCTAGATTTAAAAAAAAAATTAAAAAAAAAACAATGTGTTTGTTTGCTTGTTACAATAATTTATAATTCTTAATTGTGGCTAAAAAACTCAAGCCACCATGTGATTTATTTATTTATTTGTTTGTTTGCAGTTTTTGGCCAGGGCCAGGTTTGAACCTGCCACCTCCAGTATCTGGGATCGATGCCCTACTCCTTTGAGCCACAGGCGCCGCTGACTTATTTATTTATTTATTAATTTTAAAGAAACAAGGGCTCTTGCCTGGGTACAGTGGCTCACACCTGTAACCCTAGCATTCTGGGAGGTCTAGGAGAGCAGCAAGAAGACCCCTTGAGGTCAGGAGTTGGAGACCAGCTCCAGCAAGAATGAGCTCCCATCTCTATTTTTTTTTTTTTTTTTTGAGACGGAGCCTCAAGCTATCCCCCTGGGTAGAGTGCCATGGCATCACGCTCACAGCAACCTCCAACTCCTGG